GGAGAAAAAAAAAAGTTAAATATGAATTCAAAGCTGCAATCCAAAACACATTCCATTGGACTTGATACAGAAGAAAGGTAAGGTAAAGGTAAAGGTTCCCTTGCTCGAAAGCCAGTCGAATCCGACTCTAGGGTTGCGGTGCTCATCTCCGTTTCAAAGCCGAAGAGCCAGCGCTGTCCGAAGACGTTTCTGTGGTCATGTGGCCGGCATGACTAAACACCAAGGCGCACGGAACACTGTTACTTTTCCACCGAAGTGGTACCTATTTCTCTACTTGCAATTTCTTGCTTTCAAACTGCTAGGTTGGCAGGAGCTGGAACTAGAGACAGGAGCTCATTCCGTCATGTGGCAACTCGGGTCTCGAACTGCTGAACTATGGAACTAGAGACGGGAGCTCACTCCGTCATGCGGCAACTCGGGTCTCGAATTGATGAACTACTGACCTTCCACAGCCTGCAGTTCAGCGTCTTAACCACTTGAGCCACCGCAGCTCCTCAGAAGAATGGTACTTGGATGTTAACAAAGTAGCACGGCATATATTGGAGCCATGGAGAAAGCCTTTTTTCCTGACAAGTTATCTTTCTACATGCAGGGACTTTTGAGAGTTGTTTTGCCAGATGGGGAAAAGATGTGCACCTGTAACCTTCTGCCCACCATTTGTGGCAAGAAACTTTACAACTGGATTGTATAAACTGGCTCTTTTGGTTGGAAAAGTTGTACAGCCATCTTGGTCCGTGCAAAATCCCCAAACCAAGAACAAAACCCATACAATAATACCTTTGATTGGATCAGCGCAAAACATTATGTTTTGTACTAACTGGACTGGTCCAATAAAAGATATTATGTGAATTTTATTCTTTCTTTCTTTTAGTTTAACAAGTGACTGCCATTTGTTCACAATGGACCAACAATCTGACTCAATATAAGGAAGCTTTTTTTAAAAAAATAATCACAGCTAGCATACAGCGCCTGCCAGGATTGTAATCCAGATACAGACTTTCCCCCGTGAACTCCAAAGTCCATGAAAAGGTTAAAACAACAGTGGTCAATTGTGAGGAGAAACCGGAAACGTGAGACAAAAATGTAGGTTGTGACGTTATTTCCCTCTCTGTCCTCTCTCCATCCTCTTAGGGTAGCGCAAATGTTCCCATTCACTCTAAGCTTAGTGCAGGAAGCACAGATGTGTATTCAGGGGTTAAATCCACTGAGCGTCGCCTAGAGAGGCAGCTGGAAATGTGAGCAAGGAGGGCGCAGGTCTTTGCAAAGGCTGGTTGGAAACTGGATTGTGGCTTTCTTGCTTTAGCTTTAGGGAGGGGGCGAGGCAGCAGTTGCGCTGGCCCAGTTTTCCAAGCCGGGGGGGTGGAGCGGTGCCTACTCTGCAGGGAGAGGTGAGTGCAAGGGGGGGGGTATCTTCAATAAGGGGAGAGAGAGGCAGTGGCAAGGAGCCGTGAATAAACATTGCAGGAGAGGCGGGGAAGAGGTGGATGTTGAATCAAGCCATCAAAGCAGCAGGGCAGCCTCTCTTCCAAAGCTGAGAGCCAGCCATTCATGTATCCTATGCGGCAGGGGAAAGTTGACGCCAAAGTGCCCGGGTTAACACGCTTCAGGTTGCTCGAGTGCGAATGGGTTCCTCTGCTGCAATTAAACGAGGGTTTTTGAAAAGCAAGAGAAGAGGAGATATTTCCCTACTGACGACGTAAAACAAGCGATCGCCACGACAGATGTCGTTTTAAATGCCCCTACTATTTTAGCTGTGATAATTGCTACTAGCTAGGGATATTCCTAACTTTCCAACCCAAGAAGAGGACATTTTCATAAGTTTTTTTTAAAGAAACAGCCCAAAAGAGGGCGGACACCAAAAAAAAGAGAGGTCATGTCCTCTTTCATCTGGGAACTATAATTAAACGCAAAAACACCCCCGCCCCCGGTCTGGTGGCACCTTAAAGATTAATGGATTCTTTGAAGTGTTATGTTTTTGTGAGTTACAAAACTCAAAAGTATACAAGACAAACTGAGGAAGGTGACAGCTGGAAGCTCTGACTCATGAAAGTGTAGGGTAAAGGTAAAGGTTCCCTTGCTCGAAAGCCAGTCGAGTCTGACTCTAGGCTTGCAGTGCTCATCTCTGTTTCAAAGCCGAAGAGCCAGCGCTGTCCGAAGACGTTTCCGTGGTCATGTGGCTGGCATGACTAAACACCAAGGCGCACGGAACGCTGTTACCTTCCCACCAAAGTGGTCCCTATTTATCTACTTGCAATTTCTTGCTTTCAAACTGCTAGGTTGGCAGGAGCTGGAACTAGAGACGGGACCTCACTCCGTCATGCGGCAACTCGGGTCTCGAACTGCTGAACTACTGACCTTCCACAGCCTGCAGCTCAGCGTCTTAACCACATGAAAGTGTATGTTGGAGTAAATCTTGTTATGTCTTTAAGATGTAGTCTTTAAGATGCCACTGGGCACCTAGTGTTTTCTGTCCTTTGGTTTGGCTTTCCTCCTGAATCCGTCATTCTCATAGGGTTGCCGACAGCCTGGAGGAAAATTGTCCTGCCCCTTTAGTATTTATTATGTAGTAGTTTGTTTCCATTATCTCTAGTCCACCGTCCTCACCTGGACTCAAGGCGGATTACAACACAGTCAATACAGTCAACAGGATGGGACATCCAGTAAACAGTGCAATCGGGTTAGGGTTGTAGAACCAGGCAGAAGTCTAAAAACGGAACTGAAGCAAAGCATAACTCAAGATGGGTAGCTGTGTTTGTCTGTAGCAGCAGAAAAGAGCAAGAGCCTAGTAGCCCTTTTAAAACTAGCAAAATCTGTGGCAGGGTCACTGCTCACTTCTCCAAAGTGTAAGTGTTAATGTGACACATTAAAGTAAAGGTAAAGGTTTCCCTTGCTCGAAAGCCAGTCGCTGCTGAACTACCGACCTTCCACAGCCTGCAGTTCAGCGTCTTAACCACTTGAGCCACATTAAATGATGCTAAATTCCATAGTAGGATCCTAATTTCAGCAAGCTGTACATAGTAGAGGATTAACAGAATGTTATTTATTGCCATGCTCTGTGAAGCGTATCCCACCTGTTTCCACACACTGAATAGGAGTCCCCAACCTTTTTGAGTTTGTGGGCCCCAGTGGAATTTTTAGAGGGAGTGTGGAACACCCTCCCCAAATAGCTGCCAGAGGAGTCCGGTCCAAACACTACAACAGCTGCTGTGGGAGACAGTGCCAAATGCAATACTTCCCTCTCCACTTTGCAGATGTGAGAAACCCTGTCATTTGAGTAAGGGTAGCCAATAAGAGCCCCTGCTTTCCATAGTTCCGCCCACTTACTGAAAAGTTTGCTGGGCGCTAAGTGATGGACTGGTGGTTTCCGTAGTGCCACTGGGCACCACGTTGGTGAACCCTGCAATAAGCCTTGATTAAACAGGACTCTTTTTCTAGCAGTTTGTCGGCCACCCTGCACCCTGACTGCAAAGAACAAACTTGCTGGCCCCTTGGCTACCAATAGGACAAAGAAAAATAGCTACCCGGCAGAGGGCTTTTGACATACTTCAAGGACTGCGCAAGTTTTTAAGGGGGGAGGGATCGTTTATAAATTGGAGGAGAAGCAGCAGCAGCCCCCTCCCCGATGAGGAGTGTGCAGGGTCACTAGCTCTTCTGGAACCACATCCTAATATTCCAGCCCGACAGTTGAGGTCTTCTCCTTCTTTTATCCCAGGCCCTGTCATTTGCTGTACATAACATGGGATTAAATGTTGAGGGCAGTTGAGCGTCAGCTGAGAGAAAAACTGTGGTTTGGGATGGGAGGGTTGGCCTGCTCACACCCCTGGCAATTTGTAGCACTGTGGTAAAGAAACACTCCAGGGCATTTAAGAGATATTAACCATGGGTCAGTCCCCAGAGTTCAGTCCTATGCTTGTTGATCCCAAACCTCATGGGACACAACTTGCAGGGGTGAGAAACCAGAGTGTCCTGCTTCACAGGTGGAAAGGATTTCATTTATGTATTTCCTGAAAACATTTATACCGCATTTATACCGCATTAAATGGAACACATGAGAAGTAATGGATAGACCTCTTCTCCGGAGGCTAGGTCTCCACCAATATAGTGGAAAGGTGTGGGTGAAATTTGACCTGATTCTGTTTTCTCTTATAATATTTAAATTATTCTAAAAATATAGTTTGGTGTAGTAGTATCTGGGAGAATCGGGTTTGATTCCCCACGCCTCCACTCACAGCTGCTGGATGACCTTGGGCAAGCCATAGTTCTGTCAGAGCTGTTCTTGAAAAAGAGCTCTCTCAGCCCCACCTACCTCACAGGGTGTCTGTTGTGGGGAGGGGAAGGGAGAGGAGTTTGTAAGCTGCTCTGAGACTCCGAGTGAAGGGAGGGGTATAAATCCAATCTCCTCCTCCTCCTCGTCTTTATTCTGAGATTTTTAACAAAGTTTTGGAAGTAATCTTCTAAAAAACTAATTTACGCGATAGTTAAATGTACACCACTTTAATGCTACTAGCTTTTTTCACTCACAAAGTAGAATTTTTGCTCACAACACTGTGGAGCTTAGAGGGAACATTGGTGATGAATGAGATTTTTCATAGGGAGAGAACTGAAAGAGAATTGCACCGTTCAGAGTGTCTGGAAACTCACCTGTGCAGATACTTTCCTGCATGAAAGAGTTCCCTGTACTTGAAAAGTTAGCAATTCAGGAAACTCCAGACTCCTGTGTCAAAAAGCTCCCTGCTCTTAGAAAGCGAGTAAGTCAAGAAGTCCACACTCTGTGTACAAGCCTGGATATGGGTTGTTTTGGCTCAGGTGGGGTGTTCCCTTCTCTGCCATGAAGGTTTTCTTTTCCCATTAGAACAGAAGCCCATCTCTGCTCTACTCACCTCCCTCTGTTTACAGGTGGACGGCCATTCTGCAAGACATTCTCGGAGTGACTGTGTGCTCGATTCGAAGTGGAGTCCTTCAGAAGCTGAATGTTCCTCCTTCCACATTTGAGCTGAGCGATGGAGACCTTGAGTGTGGAGGTGAACATGTCTGTAGAGGAGGGGACAGTGATGGCCACGCGGCTGGAAACTGCCCCCAACTTCAAGTTATGGGCAGACTTAGAGGGAACAAAGCCCCCTCACAATCTGCATGTGGGGAATATTGGAGAATTGCCAACAGCAGCAGCTCCGCATCAGATAAAATGTGAACCAGAGGAAGGGCTGCAGGAACGTTGGGAGGCCCAGTGGCAGGAGTTTCTGAAGACGCTGCAGGCCCCGGACTCCGGATGGAGGAACCCACGGGTGGCCGATAAACCCACACCGTGGGAGGACGCAAAGGCTTTCCTGGCCTCTTTTGAGCAAGTTGCGTTGGCGTGCCGGTGGCCTCGAGACAAGTGGGTGACCCTCCTCCTGCCAGCCCTCAGCGGTGAAGCTGAGCAGGCCTTCGGCAGCCTTAGTGTGCAGGAGAGAGAGGATTATGGGAAGGTGAAGGCCGCCATCTTGCGAAGAGAGGCCATCGCCAGGGAGAGGCAGCGCCAGGACTTCAGGCAGTTCCGCTATCGGGAAGCGGAGGGGCCGAGAACGGCTTATGGCCGCCTCCGGGAATTTTGTCATCAGTGGCTGAATATTGAGAGACGCACCAAAGAGGAGATCTTGGAGCTGCTGGTTCTGGAACAGTTTCTGGCCGTCCTGCCTCAGGACATGCAAAACTGGGTCCGGGAATGCAGCCCCGATACCTGCCTGCAGGCAGTGGCCTTGGCAGAGGATTTCCTGGTAAGGCAGATGGACGTGACAAGACTAAAAGAGCAGGTGAGAGGGTTTGAATTTGTCAGGGGGTTCTCTTTGTAGGATTCAGACAACTTCTGCATCCTTGACATTTTGTGTTGGTTGCTGCAACAATCCCAACCGAGTGGGGCCTCAGTTTATACTACTGGATTTAGATTCTCACTCTGTTCTGACTGATCACCTCATCTCTCTCTGAGGGATGACCGGTTTACTCTAAAAAAAGTCTTTTCGGGGATTGTATTTCTTGTGGATTGAGGATGTCTGTCAGGTACGAATCCCTGTCAATAAGTCAGGCACCAGTGCTTTTGAAAGGCAAACAGCACAGTTCTTTATTCGCAGAAACTCAGCGGGGGGGGCGGGGTATTTGCGCAGAATATATTGTTGCTGGTTGGTATGAATGCTTCACTCTGCAGTAACGTAGGCTGTAGTGTTATAACTCTAAGTCTGTCACAGACTGACTTTGGTACCTTGATACCATTTGTGATTTCACTCTCCAGTAACTGACTGTGGTTAGACCTTGGACTTTCTCCGTCTGACTCCCTGAGACTGACTGGTAAGACTATTCCAGATTTTCCCCAGTCTCTTCCAGACCCCTAGTCCTTCCTTTAACCACCTCACAAGTTCCCTTGGAGGAGTGTGTGTGTTATTCAGTTTCTCCTCTCCATTCACTATCCTCCCTCATTAGAGGGGACCGGTTAGGAGCATTATCCAGCCCCAGTTTTCCTCAAACTAATGGCGTGCTTTTCCACATCTCTCAGAACCCAGACTGATGCTCTAACTGCTTACAGACCGAATGGATTGGTTGGCATTTTAAAAGTTAGTTGGCCTGGGGAAGGGCATCATTGTAGGAATCTGTGGACGTTCTTAGAGCCAAGGCATAGCCTGCCTGGAAACATCACTGAGAGCTAGTTTGGTGTAGTGGTTAGGAGTACAGACTCTAATCTGGGAGGATCAGGTTTGATTCCCCACTCCTCCACATGCAGCTGCTGGTGTGACCTTGGAGCAGTCATAGTTCTCTCAGAGCTGTTCTGGAAAGAGGAGTTCTTGAGAGAGCTCTCTCAGCCCTGCCTACCTCACTGCTGTGGGGAGGGGAAGGGAAAGGAGATTGTAAGCGGCTCTGATACTCCTTTGGGTAGTGAAGGGTGGGGTATAAATCCAATCTCCTCTTCCTCTCCTCCTCCTTCTGACTGGGAATCGAGTCTTGCTTCCATTTCAGTTGCAGCAGCCTATAAGGGGGATGTTAGCCGTGAATTCTTAAACTGTGGAGTTCAGTGCCACTGAATGTAGTGATCGCCACAAGCATGGAGGCCTTTTAAAGGCCATGGAGGAGAGGTCCTAGTCTCCTTTTCACTCCATCTTGGCTTCCAACCATCACATGTGTGCTGGCAGCTTTTGCGTTCCTTCCCAGCAGGGCAGGAACAGGGGGAGAAACAGCAGAAAAACAGGTGGGGGACGGGGATTCCACTGGCAGCACCTAAGAAATAAATCGTAGTAATGCTGTGCCCAGAGCAAATGCCCAGAGACAAACACAGATAATGTTATAACTGCTCTCGGAGTCAATGCACAGCTTCTCAGTTCCCCCAAATTCCAGTCCGTGGAGATATGTAGTCACCGAAGAGTGGGAGGCTGAGTCAGGAAACCTCTGGATCTTTACAAATTAGAAAAGACAATAATTATATCCCAGAAGGCTTCAGGCTTCAAGCCAGCTGTACTTTAAGAAAATTTGGTGCGCAGTGTCAGATAAATATCTTAAAACCACAACATGGGCAAGACCGTCATGCTGGTGTGTCTACACAGGACGCCGTCTTGGAAATCTTGTTGAGGAGAAGGTCCCTCAGTAGCCACTAGCCATGGGAACTTCCTTGTCCTGAGGCAATCAACCTCTGAATACCACTACTAGGAAGAAACATCAGGGGACGGCCTTGGCCTCTGTGCCCTCCTTGTTGGCCTTCCATGTCAACTGGTTGGTGAGAAACAGATGCTTGACCAGGTAGGCCACTGGTCTGATTCGGTATGACTCTTATGTTCTTACGTGCTCTTCTTCGACAATTCCAGGTTCCACCACCCAACATTTGGGCCCAGCACCTCTGCAGGGATGCCAAGCAGGAGCAGGCTGAGGAGGCAGCATCACTGGGTAAGGATTTGTTATCTGAATCACTGTGTAACCCCTTGTGTGCTACCAAGTGAATGTTGGCTGGTGACGGGGGAACCTCCTACATGAGGAGCTCTGACTGGCAGCTGCTCTCCAGGGTCTCAGGCCAGGCCTGTAGCTATGCTGGGGCATTTTGGGGGCTACACCCCCTCAAATGCGAGGCACGCCACACAACAGCTGCTGCCCCTCTCCCCCCCGCCTTCCCCTCTTGTGACATTAAAAGGGCCCTCCAGCTGATCAGCGGGAGCACATGGCCAAGGGCAACTAGGAATCCATTCTGAGGAACTTGTGTTGAAATATCTATTGGAGGATAAATCCACTGCAATATCAAGGGACGTTGCTAAATTTCTTTTTACTGCATTTGCAAAGCGCAAGCACCTCCTTAATTCTCCTTATGATGTCTCTTCTCTGTAGTGTTTTGGTAACTTGGGATTGCTTTTTTGATCCTGTATGCTGTTTGATGGGTCTTTGACCGTAATAAATAATGTTATGTTATGTTATGGCTTCTCTTATGTTCTTATGTAACTCCAAGCAGTATTTTACTGCTTAGCGTTCAGGCGCGGGCAGCCCCTGCTTGAAAAACACCATTTAAAAGGAACCCTTTAAAAAAAAAAATTTTTTTCCAGCAGGGGCTGCCCGCGACTGAACTCCAAGCAGCGAAATTGCCTCTTGGAGTTCAGGGAAGGCAGACAACCGTCCCTCCCTCCTCCCCTGCTACCCCACAAAATTTCGCAATGCCCCACGATCCCAAAATTTCTGGCTATGGGCTAGTCTCAGGCAGAGGTCTTTTACAACACCTTTTAACTGCTGCCTCAAAAAATTCCCCAGTGCCCCACCCCCAACCCAAAATTTCTGGCTAGTCTCAGGCAGAGGTCTTTTGCAGCACCTTTTAACTGGAGATGCCAGAGATTGGACCAGGAACTTTCAGCATGCCAAGCAGAGGCTCATCCACTGAGCCACAGGTGCCGTCCCTAAGGTTGTCTGGTGTTTCTGCAGCTAGATGAAGAGGCTTCCTTCATGGTCTTCGACCGCTAGGGGGCATTTCTTCAATAATGGGCCTGGGATGGAGACCCTTCCCCCCACTCAGCATCCTGAAACCCCCCCTTTTTTGCTGGAAATTGTATCTGTGACCTTTTTATGCACCCACACCGGAAAAGTGTTCCAAAGGCAGCCTTCCCACCAAAGGGAAAATTGGGAAAGAACAGTGAAACTGACGGGCAGTAGGCTCAGGACAGACAAAAAGAAATCCTTGTTTACACGGAGAGTGATTAAAATGTGGAATGCACTGCCAGAGGATGACACAGGAATAAACAGCTTTAAAAGGGGGTTAGATAGATTAATGGAGGATAGGTCCATCAGTGATGACTACTAGCCATGGTGGCTGAGGGGAACCTCTGCATTCAGAGGCACTAATTCTCTGTGCAGGAGTGGGGAGCCAGGAGGCAACCTCAGGGGAAGGCCTCGGCCTCTCTGGCCTGTTGTTGGCCCTCCAGAGGAACTGGTTGGCCACTGTGTGAGGCAGGATGCTCGACTAGATGGACCCCTGGCCTGATACAGCAGGGCTCTTCTTATGTTCTTTATAAGGGCAGCATTTTTAGGGAGAGGAAGCAGAAAAAGAGGAGCATTCCCTGATAAACATGGGCAACGTGGAGTTTAGGCTCCTTTATTCCCCCTACAGGAGCTGCGGTGGCTCAAGTGGTTAAGACGCTGAACTGCAGGCTGTGGAAGGTCAGTAGTTCAGCAGTTCGAGACCCGGGTGCCGCATGATGGAGTGAGCTCCCATCTCTAGTTCCAGCTCCTGCCAACCTAGCAGTTTGAAAGCAAGAAATTGCAAGTAGAGAAATAGGTACCACTTCGGAGGGAAGGTAACAGCATTCTGTATGCCGGCCGCATGACCACAGAAACGTCTTCGGACAGCACTGGCTCTTCGGCTTTGAAACGGAGATGAGCACCGCAACCCTTCAGTCGGATTCGACTGGCTTTCGAGCAAGGGAACCTTTACCTTTACCTATTCCTATTCACACGCACAAGCCTATTACCTCTGTCTTACCCTCACAACAATCCTGTGAGGTAGGTTAGGCTGAGAATATGTGACTGTCGCAAGGTCACCCAACAAGCTTCCATGACACAGAGGGGATTCGAACCTGGGTCTCCCAGATCTAAGTCCAACACTTTAACCACTACACCACACTGGCTCTCTCCATGCATATTCAACAAGTGATTAAACTGTGGCGTTCTTTGCCAGTGGGTGTAGGTATGGCTATGAGCACAGATAGCTTTGAGCAAGGGGTTAGAGAGCTTCATCAAGGATGGCTTCATTGGTGGCTATTAGACCTGGTGAGTAAAGGGAACCTCCATGCCCAGAAGCCGTCAACCCCTGAATATCAGTGCTTGGATTGGATAAACTCAGGGCTATTTTTGGGCAGGAACGCACAGGAACGGAGTTCCGGCTGGCTCCCAAGTTGGCCACGCCCACTACAGCTAAAGCCTCTGCGTGCGTGACTACAGAGGGAAGGCCTGGAGAGCGACCCCCGCAGAGACTCCGAAGCCGGCGGGCCAGGGGGGCCTGGAAGGATCGGGGAGGCATTTAAGGGCCGGCTTGCCAGGCATCCTGCAGCCATGGGGCACCTGGGCAAGTCAAGGGAAGACATGGGGGTGTGGCCTAATATGCTAACAAACTGTGCTGTTGGGGTGTGGCCTAATATGTTAATGAGTTTCTGCTGTTGTTATGCTAATGAGTTCCTGCTGGGCTTTTTCTACAAAAAGAGCCCTGGTAAACTTATGGAGCAGAGGTCCATCAGTAGCTATTAGCCACAGGATATAGAGTTCAGTCCTGCTGGTGGATCTCCTGATGACACCTGGGTTTTGGCCACTGTGTGACACAGTGTTGGACTGGATGGGCCATTGGCCTGATCCAACATGGCTTCTCTTATGTTCTTATGGAGGCAATATCAAGGGAAAGCAGTGGGCTCTGTGCCCTGTTCATTGGCCCTTCAGGGCAACTGGTTGGCTGCTGTGTGACTCTAAATACAAGACTAAATGGAGCACAGGTCTGATCCAGCAGGGCTTTTGTTATGCTCTTATGTCTAACTTCTCTGTTTATTCCTGCAGGAGATGAACAGACCTGTGAGGACAGATTTCGGCAAGATGACCCAGAGCGAAGGGAATCGAGACTCATATGGCTAGGAGGAAGCCAGGTTTCTCCATATCATGGCGGGAGTGAAGTAGAACGCAAAAAGGAAGGTCTAGTGGATAAAGCAGAGGGTAAATGTGATCAGACCGGAAGCAGAACGTGCCAAGACATCCACCTTTCCGGAAGAAGTTTCAGATGGAGCTCAGATCTCCAAGTGCACGAGTGTACCCGATCGGGCGGAGCATATAAATGCACCAAGTATGGGAAGATTTTTGGTCAGAAGGGAGGCCTTACAAGGAATGAGAGAACTCACCTGGGAGAGAAACCGTTCAAGTGCTCGCTGTGTCCAAAGAGTTTCACAAGCAGCTCCAGCCTCGTCGTGCACGAGCGAATCCACAAAGGCAAGAAGCCGTACAAGTGTTCCGCGTGCGAGAAGAGCTTTGGCCGCAAGGGGACGCTGATCATACATGAAAAACTCCATGCCACGGGGAAACTGTATAAGTGTTTTGGGTGTCCCAAAAGTTTCGCCAGCTGCTCCAACCTCGTTGCCCATGAGCGAATCCACCGGGGCGAGAAACCCTACAAATGTTCAAAGTGCGGGAAGGGTTTCAGTCAGAAGGGGACCCTTACGACACATGAAAAAATCCACTTTGGAGAAGAACCTTTCAAATGCTTGGAATGCGGGAAGAACTTCTGCCGAGCCACGAAGCTGAGGGACCACCAGAGGATCCACACCGGGGAGAAACCGTATCAGTGTTCGACGTGTCAGAAAAGTTTCACCGACGGCTCCAACCTCAGTAGACACGAGAGAGTTCACACAGGAGAGAAGCAGTTTATATGCTCTGAGTGTGGGAAGAGCTTCAATCAGAAGGGTAACCTGCTGATACACGAGAGGATCCACACTGGAGAGAAGCCGTTTAAATGTTCGGCGTGTGGGAAGAGTTTCAGTCAGAAGGGAAACCTTGCGAAACATGAAAAAACTCACACAGGGAGGGAAACATTGTAAGGGCATTTGACTCTGAACTGGGCACAGGATTGTTGTGTTTGGCCCTGATCTTGTTCACATTGATTTGGAAGGAAGGACCCCCTGTTTTCCATGGGCTTTATTTTCCAATTGGATCCTAATGTGCCAGAGCACCTCCGTAGGAATCGAGAGCAGTGTTCCCTCTAAGCTGAGTTAGTGTGAGCTAGCTCACAGTTTTTTAGCCTCCAGCTCACACATTTTTGTCTTAGCTCAGGAAGGAGGGCTCCAGAGCAAACTAATTTATGCAGTAGCCAAATCACTCGCTCACAGCTTTAATGCCAGTAGCTCACAAAGTAGGGGCGATTTCTCACTAGAGCTGCCTCGCAGCACAGCGCCGTTTGCCTCGATACAAATGTCAATTTCACACCCGAGGCTGCGGGGCTGCATTTGACTCGGGGCTTCACCCGATTTCCTCCGCAGTTTCATGATCCTCAAAAACCAGGATCATGAAACTGCGGAGGAAATCGGTCGAAGCCCCGAGTCAAAATGCAGCCCTGGAGCTTCGGGTGTGAAATTGACATGTTTGTGTCGAGGCAAATGGTGCTGTGCTGCGAGGCAGCTCTAGTGAGAAATCGCCCTAGGATTTTGGCACACAAAACTTCACAGCTTAGACGGAATATTGATCGAGAGGGGCAAATTTTGTGCCATGCAGGGAAAGTTTGTTTCCACCTATGTAAATAATAAAAAAAGAAAATGTATATAAGTTAATATTTTTTTAAAAACACGCACACACTTAGAGAGGGGTTCACTTGGTAAAACTGCTGTGCAGTAGGTTTGGAACACACAAAGGAAAATACTTTTTCACCCAACCCAAGTGTAGAAACATACAGAACTCAGTGCTGTGAGATGTAAAGCCTGCTACCTTCAACAGCTTTAAAATAGGGCTGCCAACCCCCCCAGTGGCCTGCCGGTTCCCGTTGTCTGCTGCTGCGGGAGAAAAATTAAAAAGAAAAAGAAGGCCTTGTCTACTTATAGGGAGTTCTTATCATAGAGTTCCTGGCAATTCCACAAGCTGCACAGAAGTGAAAAGGGTAGCTCTAGGAATTGCCGGAAACTGTATAGTGAGAGTTTCTGATTTTACCATCAAGTTTCCGGTGATTCCTACAGCTATCCTTTCCATTTCCTGGTAGATCTAGGAAGTGCCAAGAACTTTACGGTAAGAACTTCATGTAATTACTCCCACTCCCAGGGCCGGTGCTACCATTAGGCCAACTAGACAGCCGCCTAGGGCACAGACCTGAGAGGAGCGCAGAACTGACAATCAGCATTAGGTGCAGCCAGCTCCGTGAAGTGGGGCTGGGGGTCACTTCCATTTATTCACCGCCTGCCCGAGTACAGCGTGGCTGGCTGGAGGAGCCGGAAGATGAGCGAGTGGGGGCAGGAGAGTGGCGGGGGGGGGGGAGAGAGAGGTGGTGGAGGAAGTCTAGGCCCCAACAAGGTGAGAAGCCAGAGTTCAGAGGCGGTGTGTGGAGGACTGGGGGTGGGCAGGCAGGCAGGCAGGCAGGCCTCTCCACCTGACTGGGGGGGTGTCTCAGCGGCTGACCCTGCTTAGCTTCCGAGATCTGAGGAGTTCAGGCTAGCCTGGGCTATCCAAGTCAGGTCTAGTGGTTGCAAGAGGGGTAACCGCTAGGAGATGCCATGGCCCTCCTGTTGTGCTTCTGTACCTTCCAGGGGCATTGGGCTTCCACAAACTTTTGGAATGATCCAGCAGGGCTGCTCCTGTGTTCTCCCTCCCCCAATCATATCTCCCCCCCCAGTTTTGTAGACAAAGTGTTTTAGAGCAATACAAGTATATATGAATAATAAACCTCCACCAATCAATATCCAATATGTATTTATTTTATTATTTTATTTGTTTAATTTGTATCCCGCCCTCCCCGCCATGGCAGGCTCAGGGCGGCTTACAGAATATATATAAATATTAAAACAACAAGATATGTTAAGACACAGAAGTTAGATTAAAACCACAGCATATAAGATTTAGATTTTAAGGAGCATAAATGTTAATAAAAGATGGTGGCATTCTCTCAACATCCAGGTGGCCAACTACCACCATGATCCGGGTTCTTGCCAGGCTGTTAGTTGTTAAATTAGTGCTGATGTCGTGGCCAGGACCACGATATTAAAAGGTGGTACCCTGATCGTAAAGCCTGGTGGAAGAGCTCCGTTTTACAGGCCTTGTGGAACTGTAGAAGGTCCCGCAGGGCCCTGATGCATTAAAGCACCAGCGGATAATCAATAGGAGCATAAAAACATGTGTGTGTGTGTTGTTGTTATGTCAAGTTGCAGCGGACTTACAGTGACTCCTCCTGGGGTTTTCAAGGCAAGAGATGTTCAGAGGTGGTTTGCCATGGCCTGAATCTGCAGGGGAAAAGGGGTGAAAAAGTCATTCTATTCTCCCTCAGATACTGGACAGCATACCAGCAATTCCACAAAATCAACAAGACTCTAGAAAACACCAGTTTCAGCAACCCCCTTCCCTCCAAAAAGCCCTCGAGCAGGGCAGAAAGAGAACTGCACTGCCGCACTGATTCTGATGGTTACCAACAACCCTGGAGATGCATGTCCTGTCCTTTTGACGGATGCTTACTGGATGGAATTGGCCAGCTTTTCAAGGCATGGAGACAAATCATGTCATCACCTGTTAAATAACATCCCATTAAGCCTCTGTGGGTCAGGACATTTTTTTTCTTCTTCAGGCAGTTGGCAGCCATCTTTATGGTTCTGTTTCAGGTACTGAGTGGTATACTGCCTCTGTACCTGGAGTTTTTATTTGTATTTTTCATGAATAACAACTGCTGACAAACCCAAAACAAGAAGAAGGATTGAATTTATACCCCGCCCTTTACTACCCAAAGGAGTCTCAGAGCAGCTTACAGTTTCCTTTCCCTTCCCCTCCCCACAACAAACACCCTGTGAGGTAGATGGGGCTGAGAGAGCTCTGTGATCAATGACAATGACACATTTAATAAATGTGTCATTGTCATTGATCACAATGGTTTCTTGTTTTTTGGCATGTACCTGCACACTGTGACCCCTGTTTGTATCTTGTTTGTATTGGCTGAGAGCTCTGACAGAAACTGCTCTTTTTCAAGAAGAAGAAGAGAAGAGATTGGATTTATACCCCGCCCTTCACTTGGAGTCTCAGAGCGGCTTACAAACTCCTTCCCCTTCCCCTCCCCACAACAGACACCCTGTGAGGTAGGTGGGGCTGAGAGAGGTCTGACACAAACTGTTCTTTTTCAAGGACAGCTGTGCCAGAGCTTGTGACTGACCCAAGGTCACATCAGCAGGTGCAAGTGGAGGGGTGGGGAATCAAACCCGGTTCTCCCAGATTAGAGTCCGCGCACTTAACCACTACAACAAACTGGCTCTGACAGAACTATGGCTTGCCCAAGGTCATCCAGCCAGGTGCAAGTGGAGGAGTGGGGAATCAAACCCGGTTCTCCTAGATTAGAGTCTGCGCACTTAACCACTACACCAAACTGGCGCCACGTTTTACCTTTCATTAAGCCTCACAGCTAGCTGAGGTACACTGTGCCTCAACATGGAGGCTTCCTTCGTTATCGTGACTCACACCCATTCACAAGCCAGACACATCTTTCCTGACAAATTGTATTAAGCTGGTAGTCACCATCCCATCCTATGGCAGCAGGTTCCATACATCAATAGAACAAGGTGTGAGTCCAGGGGCACCTTTAAGACCAACAAAATTTTATTCTGGGTATATAAGCTTTCATGTCCATGCACAGCACACTTCTTCAGATAGATCCAGGTGGGGTCACCATGTTGGTCTGAAGCAGTAGAACGAACTTAGAGTCCAGTGGGGCACCTTTGAGACCCACCAAGTTTTATTCAAGGTACGAGCTTTCCTGTGCACCACACTCCCAAGTGTATGTGCACACGGGAGCTCACACTTTGATTAAAATTTTGTTGGTGTTAAAGGTGCCACCGGACTCTTAACTTTGTTCTACTGCTTCAGGTGAAGACAAAAGCTAATACCTTGAATAAAGCTTTGTTGGTCTTAAAGGTGCCACTGGACTCTTAACTTTGTTCTGTTGCTTCAGATCAACACGGCAACCCCACCTGGATCTACTCCATAAATTAAAGCATCCACACTGTGAAGATTCAGAAAATAAAGGGCTGGAGTCTTAAACCTGTCCCAGCAAGGGAAATAATAATAATAATGATAATTCGTCTTAAACCTGTCCCGGCAAGGGAGATGATGATGATGATGATGAAGAAGAAGATGAAGATGAAGCAGCAGCAGCAGCAGCAGCAAACTGGTATCAATGCAATGAATCCCGGCAGCCGGCAGAGACAACTAAAAAAATTCACTAAAGCTTCTCCAGCCCTGCCTCCCGCCCCGCCCCCAAGAGAGGTTGGGGGGGGTTCCACATAGATGACGTCACTCCACATTCACACGGCCAAGTCAGCCACCCCTCCCCCCCCTTACAATGTTTCGGCACCTCCTAGGAACGGGCACTCTCTGGCGTTAACCCTTGGAGCTCTCTCATTGCACCGAGTCGAGGCGAGGTAACAATGCGGAAAAATACGCCCAGAGAGTCTGGGAGGAAGCGAGGCAAAGGAAGGAGGACGGCTCGAAAACTTTCTCCCAACGCGGGTTGTTCTCTTTCTTTTTGAAGGAATTTTTAGACGGCACTTTTTAAAAAGAGGAAACAGGGCGGAATTCAGGATCCTTTCGCACGACTCCCTCTTGCAAGGCTTAGATCATTGCATCGCTTCGGAATTCGGGGCTTTATGCCCATGGTAATTGTTTGGCATTTTTGCTTGGTATTTTCCAAGAGTTCTAAGTGTTCAGGTCATAGCTACCAGTTTTGATAATCCTGACCATGAAGGAAGAATTTTTTTTTGGATACATATTATTGTGCAAGTTTCTCTCTGTGTGTGTGTGTGTGAGTGAGTGAGAGAGAGAGAGCGAGAGAGAGAGATTTTCCCCACCTTTGAGAAAGGAATCGACATTGTATTAGATGCAGAGGAGTTAGCTGTGTTAGTCTGTTGCCGCAAAATAGTAAAAAAGCCCAGTAGCGCCTTTGAGACTAACAAACTTTGTCGGAGCGTAAGCTTTCGAGAAACATAGCTCTCTTCGTCAGATGCCACATTGGATGAGGTGTCCTGCTGCGTGCCTCTGTGTGTGATGGAGAACCTTGAAGCCATCATCTTGGTGATCCTGGCCACCCACAACCTGGTCCGCCTGCACTTGCACCGCGGCGGCGTGGCCTCCCGGGCCCGGAGGACCATGCGCCGGGTCATGGCCAACCACATTGCCCTGCTGCACCAGCTCCTTCCCGACATCTGCCCCGACAACGAGACCAGGCTGATGGTCGAGGAGCTGAACACCGGGCCCCACCGCTTCTGGTCCCGCCAGATCAGCCAGGACTGGTGGGAGCGCGTGGTGCTGGAGACCTGGGACCCCAACCAGTGGCTGCAGAACTTCCGCATGACCAAAGACACCTTCCTGGAGCTCTGCGAGGAGCTGCGGCCGGAGCTGCAGCGCCAGACCACCACCATGAGGGCCCCGCTCAGCGTGGAGAAGCGGGTGGGCATCGCCCTCTGGAAACTGGCCACCACCGAGTGCTACCGGTCTGTGGCCAACCACTTCGGGGTCGGACGGTCCACGGTCGGGGAGGTCTTCATCGAGGTGTGCCTGGCCATTGAGAAGCTGCTGTTCAAGAAGTTGGTGGCCCTCGAAGACCCCAAAGAGGTAGTCACTTTTGGGTCATGGTGGCCTTTGGGCCTTTTGTAACGTTGTTTGGCAGTCATAATATAATTTTTAATTTATTTAGGACGGGGGTCCCCAGCCTGGTGCCCGTGGGCTCCATGGTACTTGCTGACACATTTACCGGCACCCACCAAGTGTTTTAGAAAGTGGTTGTGGCCAGGTGGGTTTTTTGCCCAGCCAAGGCTTCTGATTGGCCATTGGAAATTTGATTGACTGTGCAGATTTTAAAAAATGTTGCTTTGGCAGCAGCTGCCACTACAGCACCAGGATCTTCAGACTGTGACTGAAGGGAAGGTTGTGGCAGCCATTTTGCCAATCACTTCCTGTGGTAGCCATTTTGGGGCTGCCCCCGCCACACTGTGTCAAAACTACAAAGGTGTCCACAGGCTCACACAGGTTACAATGTTCCCTCTAAGCTGTGGAGTCCTGTGAGCAGAAATTCTACTTTGTGAGCTACTGGCATTAAAGTTGTGAGCGAGTGATTTGGCTATTGCATAAATTAGTTTGCTCTGGAGCCATCCTTCCTGAGCCGAGACAAAAAGCTGTGAGCCGGAGGCTAAAATACTGTGAGCTAGCTCACACTACCTCAGCTTAGGGGGAACACTGGTTGGGGACCCCCGATATAGGAAGCGAGATCCCCGCTTTTCTCTCTGAGGGGCTCCACAAATAAAAACACAGACAAAGAACTTAATACCATTCATGTGGGCTGGGAAGGTAAAGTGGCCCAGGAGCGTGTCAGGGAGCCTGGCCCCAATGATGGTGTGACAAGCTAAGGACTCCGGGGGCCACTCAGTTCAGACCCTGCCAACAAGAAGTGTCAGCTCATCCACTGCATCCCCCAAGAGGAGTCTGCAGGTGAGACAACACCCATCACTGGCACAGCTGGAGAAGTCTGGGTGGTTCCTGAGCACTGGCAGAGCTACTGGGGCTTGGTTTGGCTTGCTCCTGGCTGTCAGTGGCCCTCCTGGTCAGTGGGCTACTAAGTATTTATTTATTTATAAGAAGAAGAGAAGAGATTGGATTTATACCCCACCGTCCACTCGGAGTCTCAGAGCGGCTTACAATCTCCTTTCCCTTCCCCTCCCCACAACAGACAACCCTGTGAGGTAGGTGGGGCTGAGAGAGCTCTCAGAGAACTGTCCTTGAGAGAACAGCTCTTGTCAGAACTACGGCTTGCCCAAGGTCATCCAGTCAGCTGCAAGTGGAGGAGTGGGGAATCAAACCCGGTTCTCCCAGATTAGAGTCCACACACTTAACCACTACACCAAACTGGCTCTTTATATATTTATTTGATTTATACCCTGCCCACCCCACCAAGGCAGGCTCAGGGCAGCTGAGCGAGCCAAACGGCAGTTCCATCCCACAATACAATAATTTATTTGGGAGATGTATTCCCCACTTTTCTGTTCAAGAATCCAGAAAATGGATTTTTAAAAAGTCAATAGAAATGAAAGCATAAAGCCTTTATAAAGCATAAAGTGTGTCACTTTATGTTTTTTAATTTACTGCATTTATACCCTGCTTTCTCCCCACATAGGGGCCCACAGTGGCTGACATTGTTCTCCTCTCCTTCATTTTATCCTCACAACAACCCTGTGAGGCAGGTGAGGCTGAGAGAGTGACTTGACTGGCCCAAGGTCACACAGCAACTTCCATGGCAGAACAGGGATTCGAACTTGGGTCGCCCAGATCCAAGTCTGACACTCTAAATAGTGCCGTCAAGTCACAAGTGACTTACGGTGATCGTGGAGGGCCAGTTTGGTGTAGTGGTTAGCAATGTTCCCTCTAAGCTGTAGAGTCCTGTGAGCAGAAATTCCATTTTCTGAGCTACCGGCATTAAAGTTGTGAGCAAGCGACTTGGCTACGGCATAGATCAGTTTGCTCTGGAGCCCACCTTCCTGAGCTAAGACAAAAATGTGTGAGCTGGAGGCTAAAGAATGGTGAGCAAGCTCACACCAACTCAGTTTAGAGGGAACACTGGTGGTTAGGTGCATGGACTCTAATCTGGGAGAACCGGGTTTGATTCCCCCACTCCTCCACTCGCAGCTGCTGGATGACCTTGGGCAAGCCATAGTTCCGTCAGAGCTGTCCTTGGAAAAGAGCAGTTTCTGTCAGAGCTCCCTCAGCCCCACCTACCTCACAGGGTGTCTGTTGTGGGGAGGGGAAGGGAGAGGAGATTGTAAGCAGCTCTGAGAGTCCTTTGGGTAGTGAAGAGTGGGGTATAAATCCAGCCTCTTCTCTTCTCCAGGGTATCCAGGCAACAGACACGGGCAGGCAATGTCAAACCACTTCTTTTTGTCTCTTGAACAGATGGGGATTGCCATGGCCTGCCTCTGTATTGCAGCCCCGGACGTCCTTGGTGATCTCCCATCCAAGTACTAACCGGGACTGACATGGCTTAGCTTCTGAGATCTGACAAGATTGGGCTCGCCTAGGCTATCCAGGGCAAAAAAATGACAAAAGGCTACCTATATAGCAGTAGATTAAAATATTATAAACATGAGAGTATGCAGGGCTTTTTTTGTAGAAAAAACCCAGCAGGAACTCAGTAGCATAATAGGCCACACCCAACAGCAGAAATTTATTTGCTTATTAGGACACACCCTTGACAGCACAGCTCATTAGCACACTAGGCCACACCCCCATGTTGCCAGAAGTGTGGTCATCCAGACACACTCACCTTTTGCTTCTTATTCTGTTTACCTTGTTTGTTGTCAAAACCCAAGGCTTTTTTGTAGCAGGAACTCCTTTGCATGTTAGGTCACACACCCCTAATGTAACCAATCCTAATGAGTTTCTGCTGTTGGGTGTGGCCTATTATGCTAATGAGTTCCTGCTGGGTGTGGCCAACTCCGGAGCCAGCCGGAACTCTGTTCCTGTGCGTTCCTGCCCAAAAATAGCCCTGAGAGTGTATATAAAAGGGTAGCACATAATACATAAATTAAAGTCCCTGCATCTCAAAACAGCAGCAGACTAAAAACAATAAAGGTATTTTTAAAAATATCAGGGAAGATTCAGTCTAGTCCCCATGTGAGGGTTAAAATATAAGTCCAAAATGTGAAAAGCTTGAAGACGACAACTCTAGGGAAACTGTGAGATCATTAGAAAATGCCTAATCTCTCAATCTTTTCATTTTTGAAGGTTATGGAGGGCTTTGCAGAAATGGGGTTTCCCAACTGTGTGGGGGTCGTGGACAGGACCCACATCCCCATCATCTGCACCGTTCGAAAGGGAACCAGTGTCAGCCAGAAAGGGTTTTTCCCCATGTCGATGCAAGGGACAGTGGACCACAGGGGCCGTTTCATCGATATTGAGCTCAGCTGGTGTGGAAAAGATAAGGACGCCTCCTTCTTTCGAAACTTGGCTCTCTGCGAGGCTATGGACCAAGGGTCATTCGTCCCTGGGAACCCTACGATGACCCTTGGTGATGTGGAGATTTCCCCTCTGATCTTGGGCGACGCGACCTACCCTCTGAAGAAGTGGCTCATGAGGCCTTTCACGGGCAACCTCAGCCCTCACGAGGAGCAGTTCAATTCCCGCCTGAACGACTGCAGGAAGGTGGCTGGACAGGCCTTTGGGCGGCTGAAGGGGCGCTGGAGGTGCCTGGCCACCCGCTTGGAGGTCGCCGAGGAGAACATCATCCCTGTGGTGGTGGGCTCGGTCGTGCTCCACAACATCTGTGAGAACCGCGGGCATGCCTTGCTCGACGGGCCGTGGGCCCAGGATGGAGTGTGGGACCAAACACCTGAGGGGCACTTGAAGTTCCCCACATCTGCACAGGACACACAGGATGGGAACCTGGTGCGAGAGGCCCTGGCCAAGTACTTCATGAGTGATTCTTGATCGGGGTGGGCCTTGGCTGAACCAAGAAGGCCGTTGTTTTAAATGTATACTTTGGGTTAATGCAGATCTACTGTTTGTGCTTGTGGAGGAGGAGGAGGCGGTGGGAGGTTGCCAGCTATGGTGTGAGGTAAATTTTACCATTTCTCAACTCATGAGCCCTGCTGGATCAGACCAATGGTCCAGCATCCTGTCTCACACAGTGGCCAACCTGTTCCTCTGGAGGGACAGCAACAGGGCATGGAGGCCGAGGCCTTCCCCTGATGTTGCCTCCTGGCTCTGGGATTCAGAGGTTTAGTGCCTCTGAATGTGGAGGTTCCCCTCAGTCACCATGGCTAGTAGGCATAGACAGACCTATCCTCCATGAATCCAATCTCCTTTGAAAGCTGTTTATTCCTGTGGCCATCAGTGCATCCTCTGGAAGCTCATTCCACATTTTAATCTCTCTCTCTCTCTTTGTAAAGTAGTATTTCCCTTTGTTGTCATGGTGATTAGTACCTCAGGGCCTAGCTCCCAGACAAGAGGTTTTTAAAAGGACAGGACACGGCCTGGCTAGTGCTAAGTCAGTTGGCAACACCAGGGCTATTTTTGGGCAGCAACCGCACAGGAACGGAGTTCCGGCTGGCTCCCGAGTTGGCCACGCCCAGCAGGAACATATTAGCATAACAGGCCACACCTAACAGCAGAAACTCCTTAGGATTGGCTACATTAGGGGTGTGTGGCCTAACATGCAAAGGAGTTCCTGCTGCAAAAAAAGCTCTGGGTTTTGACAACAAACAAGGTAAACAGAATAAGAAGCAAAAGGTGGATGTGGCTGGATGACCACACTTCTGGCAACATGGGGGTGCAGCCTAATATGCTAATGAGTTTGCTGCTGGGTGTGGCCTATTATGCTAATGAGTTCCTGCCCTCAGGGCCTAGCTTCCAGACAAGAGGTTTTTAAAAGGACAGGACATGGCCTGGCTAGTGCTAAGTCAGTTGGCAACACTATGGTTAGTGCTTATTGGTGGCTGTTTTCCCACAGGTTAAAGAAAGGCCTTTGAGGAGCAAAGCACTTACAAATGTTCATTTCCTAATTTTAAAAATAAAACCATTTTGGAAACCATTTGACTTGAGTGAACATGTTTCTTGAAACTAAACTGGGTGTTTTTCTGCTCATTCTCCTAAGATTCGCTTTTGTAATGTGTGTTTGTGTGCAAATGGTCCTCAGCCTGGTCTGACATCTTCAGTTCAAAGGATTTCGGGTGATAGGAAAGACCTCAGCCTGAGATCCCAGAGAGCTGCTGCCAGTCTGAGTAGGCAATACTGACCTTGATAGGAGAGTCTGACTCAGTAGAAGTCAGCTTCATTTGATGTTTCTAGTTCTGAGCAAAGGTTAATGCTAATAGTATTTATTATTATAATTTCACAAAAACGAGTGTGGAAGCTGTCAGATGTCTGAGGAACACTGCCTTAAAATGGCGACTCCTGTATTCCCCCACAATATCAGCTGAATCTTTTCATCACTGCATATTGCAAACCTCTGGATATCTTGAAGAGGTGAACAGATTGGATTTATACCCCACCCTTTACTACCCGAAGGAGTCGCAGAGCAGCTTACAATCTCCTTCCCCTCCCCACAACAGACACCCTGTGAGGCAGGTGGGGCTGAGAGAGCTCTCTCGAGAACTGCCCATGAGAGAACAGCTCTGGAAGTACTTATGACTGACCCAACTGCAGCTGCATGTGGAGGAGTGGGGAATCAAACCCGGTTCTCCCAGATTAGAGTTTGCGCTTTTATCCACTGTTGGTGAAAAAATTCTGGATAAAAGTTTCAAAAGCTATTAGATCTATTACTGGTTATTACATTCCTCTTTCCCCAGAAACATATCTATTAGACCTTTGGAATGATCAAACTATTCCTAGAAATAGAAGGGAACTTATTTCAATCTTCATGGTAGCAGCAAAAACTATCATAGCTAATACGTGGAAAAGTACAAATAATATAACTCTTTCACTTGGTATAATATAACTCTTTCACTTTGGTATAACAAACTCTGGGAGTTATACTCAATGGATAAGCTTTCAGATAAGGTGTCTTCATTTTCTAATGCGTCCGGACATAGTGATTTCCAGCTTAAATGGTTTCCATTCCTTGAACACTTTTTCAACAATGATTCATCTAAAACTGTTCAGGTCCCAAAGAAATTTTATGATATTGTTCATATGATGTAATATTAACAGCTTCATCTAGAACTGCAAGTATAATATATACTAATACCTTTCCATTAGTGTTATGGTTTTAATTGTGTTCCATTAAGGTTTTGTTGTTCTGTTGATGTAAATTGAAAAATTGAAATAAAATTTTAATAAAAAAAAAAGATTAGAGTTTGCGCTCCTAACCATTACACCAAACTGGCTCTCTCTCGCAGCTTGGTTACTCAGTAGTTCACACCATTCTCTGCAGAATGTGTGCATTGCTTCCATTGACAAGCACTGTGCTTGAATCCAGGCCACAGCCAGGAGGTGACCAGTGGGTTGCACTGCCACACCCAGATGCAATTTAAATAATAATTTTTAAAAACCCTTTTATTTTCTGACATAACATCCATTCAAGAATGAACACCTTGTTTGAAAAACAAGAAAAATAGTATATTAAAATATTGGTGATGATTGGTGCTCTGCAAAAACCGGTTGTGCCTTCAGCTTTATGTGCAGGACTCATACGTGATCCACCCAGCATGCCCATCCAAGATTCTGATTGTTGGTTTTTTTCAAGATCTCTATTGCCTTTGTGCATAAATTATCCTAAAAACCACACTTCATGATTGAACATGGCAGGGTCCTTAAAAGGGGTCAAGAAACTGAAATGCTTGGTAGGGCTTCCAGATTCCAGATGGAGGCTGAAAATCTCTTGGGATTATAATTTATCTCCAGACTACAGAGGTCATTGGAGGGTGGACTCTAAGGCATCTCTACATCTTTACATTCTCTACATTGGAGAAAATGGCTGCTTGGGAGGGTGGACTCTGTGGCATCTGTCCCTGGTTAGGTCCCTCCTCACCCAAAACTTCATCCTTCCAGAGAGCCAGTTTGGAGTAGTAGTTAGGAGCGCAAACTCTAATCTGGGAGAACCGGGGTTGATTCCCCACTCTTCCACTTGCAGCTGCTGGATGACCTTGGGCAAGCCGTACTTCTGATAATGAGCTGTCCTTGAAAAAGAGCAGTTTCTGTCAAGAGCTCTCTCAGCCCCGCCTACCTCACAGGGTGCCTGTTGTGGGGAGGGGAAGGGAAAGGAGTTTGTAAATCGCTCTGAGACTCTCTTGGGTAGTGAAAAAGGTAAAGGTAAGGGTTCCCTTGCTCGAAAGCCAGTCGAGTCTGACTCTAGGGTTATGGTGCTCATCTCCGTTTCAAAGCCGAAGAGCCAGCGCTGTCCGAAGATGTAGTGAAGGGTGGGGTATAAATCCCTCCTCCTCCTTCCCAGAGGAGAGTTGCCAGCTCTGGGTTGGGAAATACCCAGAGATTTTGGGGGTGGAACCTGGAGAGGGTGGGGTTTGGGGAAGGGAGGGGCCTCAGCAGGGTATAATGCTATTCTGGTCCACCCTCCCAACAGGCCATTTTCTCCAGGGGACCTGATCTTTGATGTCTGGAGATCAGTTGTAATTCTGGGAGATCTCCAGGCCCCTACTTGGGACACTGGGAATCTCAGGTTTAGGGTTGCCTGGAATTACAACTGATTTCCAGACAGCCTGAATCAGTTCCCCTGAATAAAATGGCTACCTGGAAGGTTGGACTCTGTGGCATTATACCCTGCTGATACCCCTCCCTAGCCCCAAATCTCCAGGAATTTCCCAACCCAGTGTTGGCAACCCTGGATAGGTATTTGTAGCAATGTTCCCTCTAAGCTGTGGACTCTTGTGAGCAAAAATTCTACTTTGTGAGTTACTGCCATTAAAGTTGTGAGCAAGCGATTTGGCTACTGCATACATTAGTTTGCTCTGGAGCCCTCCTTCCTGAGCAAAGACAAAAACGTGTGAGCTGAAGGCTGAAAAACTGTGAGCTAGCTCACACTAACTCAGCTTAGAGGGAACACTGATTTGTAGCTGTCTAAAAGTTTCTGCACTTAAGAAACAACATTTGTTCTGGTATATTTAGGAGATTAGCGACCGTGGGACATGTTATGTAGCTTTAGAATCATATGAAAGGACCACATTTATTCTCTTACAGTTTGCAGATTCTGGAATAGCAATCTTAGGGAGGGATCAGTGCTGTTTTCCCTGTGAAAAGACACATCCAAACTGCTTTTAGGGTTACTAGAAAAATGAAACATTGAAAAGCAGCAAGAGTGTATCTGGGTGTGTGCAGAATGCCTTTTGCTCACCTGAGGGTATAGTTAAAATCTAATTTTTGGTGGTAGTGTTGCCAGCTTTCCTCCTAGCAGTGCTCCTGTGCTCTTTAACAGCAGTTAGTGCTTCAGTGAGGGGAGGAACTTTACCAGTTGAACTTCTGCTTACTGGGCATGCAAATCCTGCTTGGGGGAAAAACCATTCTCAGTCCTACTTCCAGATGTAAAGGAACCAGATGGTGTGTTCCATCGGTATGAATGGAGGGGGGGGCTGCACCTGTTGAATGTCTGCCTCTGTAGTCACTCTTACAGGCACAAGTTCTCCTACCTGGAAAGGCACAGTAAATAAAACTTTAAAAAGATTGTCAGGAATCTTTTCTTACTTCACTTACTTCACCATTGAGACTCAAGACAGATTACAGAATGAGAAGCCAACACAATAAAAACAGTTTAGTACATACTCAACATTGAAAAAAGAAAATCCCGGAGTACAAAATCAGAAAACACGGGATCCAAATAGCATGATACATAACAATGCAGGACGAAAGCTGTGTGATATTTTCAAGCATACAAGCCGTGTTGGTCTGAAGCAATAGAACAAAGTTCGAGTTCAGCGGCACCTTTAAAACCAACCAAGTTTTATTCTGGATATAAGCTTTCCTGTGAAGAAGTGTGCATG